GTCTCATGATGTGTCATTGCAACCAGCCAACAGAATGATGGAAGCTGTATCATAATCCTTCCACCCACTGTAATATCTATCATAGTTAGTGTGGACTTCATTTTGGCCAAAGCACAAAGGATGATGAAAGAAACAGGTAAGGTAATAATTAGAGTCATATGCATAATTGTCTGTGATTCATAGTCCCTGGAGTGGCTATTTAAAAAAAAGTCCTGTATCAACCTGGCCTGCATTCTCCCTCATTTATTCCCAAGGATGTCAGCATCACTCCCTCCCTCTCTACCTCCTACATTAATGAGCCGGGATTTAAAATCAGAGCAGAGACTCATGCTTGCAGACACAGCTCATAGACCCAACACCCACCCTCTGCACACACACTGACACACACACAACTGGCATCATACCTTTAGCAGTAGAGGAAGAAATAGCATGCTTTCCATTGACATAATTCTGCATCACGTTGCTAAGGAACGGATGAGTCAACAATAGTTGCCACGGCAACACCGCTTCACCTTCAAATCTCTTGCCCTCTGTCTGTCAGTGCCACAGCAGACTAGTGTGGTGAGTGTGTTTATACACTACCGTTCAAAAGTTTGGGGTCACATAGAAATGTCCTTGTTTTCGAAAGAAAAGCAATTTCCTTGTCCATTAAAATAACATCAAATTGATCTGAAATACAGTGTAGACATTGTTAATGTTGTAAATGGCTATTGTAGCTGAAACGGCTGATTTTTTATGGAATATCTACATAGGCGTACAGAGGCCCATTATCAGCAACCATCAGTCCTGTGTTCCAATGGCACGTTGTGTTTGCCAAAAGCCCCAGGGCTCAGCGGCGTAGAAGCCCCTTTAGGCGGACCTCCTTCTCTGCCCAGTGCTCCTGGGTCCTGCAGGTCGGAAAGGGAGGTGGGCAGGTTGAAGGCCTCGTAGCAGCGCACGTGGAAGTAGGCCATGGTGATGTCATGGAAGGCATCCAGGTTGTCTCCTGTAAAGGAGGGGAGGGGTGGTTACACAACCTGTATGACCAACGTCGTGTATCTTTATTTTAACCGTGGGGTTTATGCAGATGCTGATGCGGAAGACCCATACCCTTGAGTCAATGTAAATAAAGAAGTGAGGGAACAGGGCTAAGTCCGGTGACATCACTGTGGTTCAGAACACCTGCTTGGTGAGTTAGTGCCCAGCTAAGCGCCGCAGGCGGCAGTACTTAAGACTGCTGGAGGGCTGCCAGGATTAGCTAACAAGGCAAGATGAGATGCCTGGGGTGCTGTAATGTGTCACGGTGTTGATGAAACACTAGTCTGAGATTTCTAAAGAAAAACAGGTAACATTATTTGATGTGGCTTGTAATGTTTTTGATTTAACCTTTATTTAACCAGGCAAATCTTATTGAGATAAAAATCAATTTTCCCTTCACGCTTGAGTCATTTGAATGACATAGGCTAACGCTTGTCATAACAATCGTTAACAAATGAGGACTACAATGCAAAGTCAGTAAAACACCCTTGGTTAAACTTCACTGCATGTTGTGCAACATGGGTAAAAAATGACAGTATATATCGAAAAAGTGAACCCCTGACCTTTGCGGCGAGAGTCCACAATGAAGGTGAATCCGGTGGAGCACATACTCAAACTTAGGCAGGCCATTGTTTTCTGCAAAGTCATGACTTCTTACTCTAGTGTAGTCTGAAGGAGGGAGAGGACAACAGAGAATGTGAAGCAGCCTAAATAATATTGTCGACATCTAGGATAATTGACTGTCATAAGATGACATTTTACATTCAAATTTTTATTTTATTTATTATGATTAATATTTTTAGGGGGTAGATCAGCATTAATATTGCAGATAGATTGTAACTTCCATCAAGGTAATTGTCTGCATCACTTCCAATCCCCCATATGCATTTTTTCTCTCGTATATATATATATATATATATATATATATACATACATACACTTACATACAGTGGGGGAAAAAAGTATTTAGTCAGCCACCAATTGTGCAAGTTCTCCCACTTAAAAAGATGAGAGAGGCCTGTAATTTTCATCATAGGTACAACTATGACAGACAAATTGAGGAAAAAAAATCCAGAAAATCACATTGTAGGATTTTTTATGAATATATTTGCAAATTATGGTGGAAAATAAGTATTTGGTCACCTACAAACAAGCAAGATTTCTGGCTCTCACAGACCTGTAACTTCTTCTTTAAGAGGCTCCTCTGTCCTCCACTCGTTACCTGTATTAATGGCACCTGTTTGAACTTGTTATCAGTATAAAAGACACCTGTCCACAACCTCAAACAGTCACACTCCAAACTCCACTATGGTCAAGACCAAAGAGCTGTCAAAGGACACCAGAAACAAAATTGTAGACCTGCACCAGGCTGGGAAGACTGAATCTGCAATAGGTAAGCAGCTTGGTTTGAAGAAATCAACTGTGGGAGCAATTATTAGGAAACGGAAGACATACAAGACCACTGATAATCTCCCTCGATCTGGGGCTCCACGCAAGATCTCACCCCGTGGGGTCAAAATGATCACAAGAACGGTGAGCAAAAATCCCAGAACCACACGGGGGGACCTAGTGAATGACCTGCAGAGAGCTGGGACCAAAGTAACAAAGCCTACCATCAGTAACACACTACGCCGCCAGGGACTCAAATCCTGCAGTGCCAGACGTGTCCCCCTGCTTAAGCCAGTACATGTCCAGGCCCGTCTGAAGTTTGCTAGAGTGCATTTGGATGATCCAGAAGAGGATTGGGAGAATGTCATATGGTCAGATGAAACCAAAATTGAACTTTTTGGTAAAAACTCAACTCGTCGTGTTTGGAGGACAAAGAATGCTGAGTTGCATCCAAAGAACACCATACCTACTGTGAAGCATGGGGGTGGAAACATCATGCTTTGGGGCTGTTTTTCTGCAAAGGGACCAGGACGACTGATCCGTGTAAAGAAAAGAACGAATGGGGCCATGTATCGTGAGATTTTGAGTGAAAACCTCCTTCCATCAGCAAGGCCATTGAAGATGAAACGTGGCTGGGTCTTTCAGCATGACAATGATCCCAAACACACCGCCCGGGCAACGAAGGAGTGGCTTCGTAAGAAGCATTTCAAGGTCCTGGAGTGGCCTAGCCAGTCTCCAGATCTCAACCCCATAGAAAATCTTTGGAGGGAGTTGAAAGTCCGTGTTGCCCAGCGACAGCCCCAAAACATCACTGCTCTAGAGGAGATCTGCATGGAGGAATGGGCCAAAATACCAGCAACAGTGTGTGAAAACCTTGTGAAGACTTACAGAAAACGTTTGACCTGTGTCATTGCCAACAAAGGGTATACAACAAAGTATTGAGAAACTTTTGTTATTGACCAAATACTTATTTTCCACCATAATTTGCAAACAAATTCATTAAAAGTCCTACAATGTGATTTTCTGGATTTTTTTTCTCATTTTGTCTGTCATAGTTGACGTGTACCTATGATGAAAATTACAGGCCTCTCTCATCTTTTTAAGTGGGAGAACTTGCACAATTGGTGGCTGACTAAATACTTTTTTTCCCCACTGTACATTTTATGGACACAGTCAATTTTACAATAATTATATTTTGTTTGTTCTTACTCCTGAACTTCCTCTACCCTCAACCTCGCCGATCATTTTCATGATGTCCATCCGGTTTGCTTCTATATGCCATATCTTTCTAACTGTGCTCTTTCACAAAAGTTCTCAACCTATAACCTATATACTTATTATACTTGAGCAGAGACTCATGCTTGCAGAGACTTGTTGTTATTAGTTGGTGTTAGTTGTTATTAGTCCAATCCTTCAGCTCCATTCAACACCACCCATCTATCTCTCAACACCATCCACATTGGATTTCTATCTGCCATACAATTCTCAACTGTACTGTGATGTTTTACAAAAGTTCTGAACCTTTCTATTCTCATTGTTTCTACAGATTGTAAATTGAAAATAAACATTTTGCTAAAAGTATTATTATATTATTGATCGATTGACTATGACTTTTCAGATCACCCAGTAATGCTATCTGCAAGGTTAGCTCCAGGTAAATATTGCAATCCTTTAGCCATTCCTGGACCTGTGTCCAAAAACAAGCTACAAATGGACAGTACCAAAACAAATGATCTAATGATTCTGTCTCTTCTCTGCAAAATCTGCAGAGCTGGGAAGATTGAATCCCCCATATAAATAACATTCTATTGGTAGCAAGAATTTTATCTAATAATTGAAATTGAAAAATTATAAGTTTTGAATCCGGCGTCGTTTTGCGTATCAGTTCATAAACACCATGCCATGGGATCGGTTTGTCAAAAATCTCTTCCCAACTATTTTGCAATCTATATGGGTCAGCTGTCAATCCTTTGGTCCTTAAGTGAAACTGATATACTTTTTTATTTATCACAGTTTTCCTTAACCAATTATGTTCTTTAATGCAAGGCCGACAGACATTCAATTCTTGGATAGGGTTTAACACACTACTGTAAGAGTGAGAGAACATTGGTTTCATGCCAAACCTCATCCATGTCCTTCCTAGATATGAATACAATATCATTACATAAGTTAATTAAAAGATATCACACTAGCCTAGGTGGAGCTCTACATCTGTGGATCCCTAGCTATCCTCTGAGGGACAAAGCTAAGACATCTTTGATCCAGAAAGGGTCACAGAAATCGTCAGGGTAGCACCCTGATCCAAATCCCACCACCATCCTTCCGGTAGAGTAGGAGGGAATGTAGGATGTATTACTAAAACTATTACTAAAATGTGTCATATATCTGGCCCTGGGTCTGTAAGTCAAACTGATTTTAAGAACATTGTATGCACATACACAGAGACCACACATACATCCTCAGGGAGTTATAAAACCGATGTTAACAGGTTTGGAATGAGACCTGGAAACGGTTGATGCAGGGTGCTCATGTCCAATCCAACATATCATTGCCCTGGTTGGCTGGTTGGCTGATGTCACTGAAGCTGTTACCGGTCATGTCAGTGCCCTCAGAGAAGAGGAGGAGCTCAGAGGCTCTCTGATGTCACAGAGGTATTCCAGCATGTTCTCCATGTGGCTGTGGTCCTCCTCCCACTGACAGTTGATGAAGATGAAGCAGGCCACCTGCATGGCCCAGCCTGATGCAAACACACACACACACACACACACACACACACACACACACACACACACACACACACACACACACACACACACACATACAAAACACCAAAGACACATCACTGTGTAGCCCATGCTGAGGTGTGTGTGTGCGTGTTGCCTATACCCACTGAAGCCTGGCACAGCCTTGAGGGCGGCCTTGAGGTTGATTTTCTCCAGGCGCAGGTAGCTGTACCTCAGCAGGCAGCACTACAGGAACATCCGGTCCAGGCGCATCTGGTGGTTCATGATGATCACACTGTGCTCCCATGGGATGAAGCCATCACCCATGATCACCACCTTTAACCCAAACACCAGCTCCAGCAGGGCCTGCACAGAGGGAGGGCGGGAGGAACAGGAAGACTGTCATTTAATTTGGTCCTACTGTATTCCCCTGTATTTGTATTCTTATTAACAAGAGCACCCTGTATTAACCCCATCATCTCTAGACAAAAACAAAAAACAAATTGACTAAATGACTAAATTGAAATGGTTCCAAAACACAGGCCAAGAATAGTACAAAACAAGGTCAGTGAGAGGTCAAAGAACTTCAGGGCAAGAGATCAATAAACGTCTAGGGAAGACATTAAAGAAGGTTAGGAGGTCAAAACCAAAAAGGCAAAACAGTTAAACCACAGTGGTCAAACAAAGGTGAGAAAAACAGACAGACATAAGTAAGAAGATTCAGAGGTAAGGAACACAGACAGACAGGGAGAGATCGGGGTAAGATGACGCGTCACGGGCAGGGTGAGCCAGGTGGCCACGATACGGTCTGTGATCCAGTGGTACCAGGCGGGTGACATCAGCATGAAAGGAAGCACAGGGCCCAGCATTAAGATGCTGCCAAAGAAACTGCCCAGAAACAGGGTCACCACAAAGTAAAGCCCCCGCACCGACACCACCATACCTGGAAGAAAGAGAGAGAGATGATTTCACATTTACATTTGGACTCTCTTTATGCGTCAGTGAACTTGTTAGTTCACTACAGTAAAAACAGTTAAACTGATCATGAAGGAGATATACTGTACATTAGGATATAATATCAATTTTTTAGAATTCTCTGTGAATGTGGAACTGCAAGCTTAGGAGTAATGAGGAAGGATTGGATGAATCATGGAGTAGCCTAATGTAAGACAAATGGAGTTATCAATGTCCTCATCAATAGCAAACCCTCCTGTTCTGTTGATTTTCCTAAACACTTCCACACAAACAGTGGAAAAACCAAGGCAGACATTCCTGTTGTGGAATGTAAATAGGGGTTGGAGCCAGGAGTTTCTTACTGCTAAAATGCTGTGAGCACGGAGACTGGATTTTATGCAGCTCGCCTGACAACCTTTTTTTAGACCTGAACATTTCACATTTTCACTGGATAGCCTAAATATATTTGCATATAACCCAGCCTACAGCTGTGTCTTTTGTTGGATCATGCTTTCGAGAATGATACCATCTGGGGCTCACTCAATACTGTCATACGCCTTGGCCAATGTTCCATTTTCTTTTCAAAGCTACTGCTGTATTACAGTAGGTGTTATTTCTAATAAATCAGTATAACAGACGTAACATAAACATGCTGAAATTCAAAACCCAGTACTGAGACTTTGACAGCTGACGGCAAATCTCTATATGATCATGTCAGATGATATCTAGTCTTGCCCCACAGGGACCCTTTGTGTCTACTAGTGTTCATAGAAATCAGTTGCTGAGTGGAAGAGTGTATCAGATTTAGGTTTATGGGGCTTTAACAGCTCAGTATGCCAAGCATGAACCAATTGAGCATAGCCTAACATAAAGTGTAAACCCAGCAGGTTGGACAAACTTTCCCAGAACTACTGTCAGTGTCAGCTATTGGTCTAAAAATTGGGATGTTGGCTACGTATGCTATGCATGTGGCTTTGGATAAGCCTATGAAAAAATGTAATAATAATCATAACACTAAATCAGTAGAACCTATGGCTTTATTTATGCTGCTAGTCTTTATTGCTTGGTCTTGCTGACGCAGTGAACCTGAGCTCGGCTACGGGGAGTTCTGCTCGACGAAGCAGGTGTTTTGAACTGTGGTTCACGCTCCTCCACCTCCATTACCGCTGTAATCGCACAAGTCTCCCGGTCCCAACACCCCTCACGTAATTACCACCATGCTTAGCAACAGCCATACCATGACACAGCAGGTCTCACGGCAGCAGCATGCAAAGTGGTTGATGGACTGGTGCACTAACAACTCAGGTGTATGTGTCATTCAGAGCCGGGCTGGGGGTTTAAGGGTTGTTGTTTTTTAGCAATGGAAAATATGAAGCATCGGAGAGGTGAGGAACACGCTGGCTCAGCACAATTGTCACAATTACGCCTCCCTTGTTACTGCTCTCCCCCACAACATACTCCTACACACACACACACACACACACACACACACACACACACACACACACACACACACACGCACACGTGTCTGCAGGAACATGCTGGAGCACACACAGGCAGTGGGAAGAACACACCTTTATGGTCCACAGAGGATGAGAGGTGAAAAGTGATAAAGTCATCACATCATGATTTTTTCCAACCCGCAGGACACAAGGGATGTAGGCTATTCACCCGCACAAGGAAAACATTTTCTTTCAATGTTCAATGGTGTAGGCCTAATAAAATCATTGAAAATGTGATGAAGTCCAGATAATGATAATTGATTAAATGTTTATTCAATCAACATAGCAATGACCACAGATCATTGCCTAAAATATGATCTAGCCTAACTGCAATGCAAAATATCTGCTCTTAGTCTGACCCTGCATAATCTGGATATCATTTTGCATTCCAGTCGAGGCCAGATATCACCATAGAGCAAATGGAAATGAGAGGTCAACCATGTCTAAACAGCAAGCCGAGTCGTGCCCATTCTTGGTTCTCTGCTCTCAAAACCATTAGCCTGAGTAATTGAACTTGTGAGTTAGGCTAGCTGAACAACCCTCTCTGTTGCAGTGGAAAAACAGAGAGGACTTCAACCCCTGGGTTCCATCTCCACTGTGCTCACAGCTAATTGCTGCCTGCTGTCTGTGATGAGCGGTGCAGTTTGCAGGGAGGGGAGGGTGAGGGTTAGTCAGTGGGGAAAAGAACAATGCTTTAATAACTTTTCCCCATTGGATCTCTGATAAAGATCAGGGAGATTAAAAGTGTAAGTACAAACAAGCTGGACACACAAACACACACCCAGATACACACACACACTCACACACCAGTAAAAAGGCTTAGTTGTGCCAATGTCAGAATGCTGAATGTGGATGTGGTGCAGGAATCAGGCGCAGGACACAGAAGCTTCGTCCAACAGACTTTAGTAGACGACAACGAAATACAAACGGGCCTCAAAAGAGCCCGGAGGCAAGCGATTACGCACACCGTGAGTAAACACCAAAAATGCAATGAGCGCGCACACAAGTGCGAAAACTCTCCAAAACTATGGAGCAAAACAATCACAGCACCTGCTGACAGGCGGAACAATTACACACAACACCCGACTAACAAAACGAGAACTTATAGGACACATAATTAACACTAAACGGAAACAGGTGTACAACTAAGACAAAACCAAACAAACATCGAAAACATACAACGGTGGCAGCTAGTACTCCAGGGACGACGACCGCCGAAGCCTGCCCGAGCAAGGAGGAGGAGCAGCCTCGGCCGAAACCGTGACAGCCAATGATCAATACGCAGCCCGTGGACCTAGTCAGTCCATACAGTAGGCTGTAAGGTTAGCCTACTTTCAGTATGAACTTAGAAGATCTCAATAACAACATGTCAACTAGGCCCAACTGTGGCACAATTATCAACCAATAGTGTAAGTGTGACATTATCCATTCTTCTCAGTACAATGTCCATTGCACTTGAAATGCATGACATAGGCTTTTCCACTTCAGTAGGTCATCAAAGCCAGGGACAGCACCTGTAATAGACAGGGCACAGTGATTGGACCTGAATAGGACAATGGGGCCAGTGTAGCCCATTCATTGACGTTAACTACCTTTAGCGTCTATGAATGAAGGTATCTTCTGGCCTTGGGAGTTTTGTTAAGAGTCCCGATGCTCATTCTGAACGTTAACACTCATCTCTTGTGGTACAGTTTTGGAAACATAAGGAACATATCTTTCATATCAGCAAGTAATAATACTTTTTTAAAAGGTTCAATTACTACACACCTTTATAGGGTTAGGGTTAGTGTTCCCACAAAGCCATATCTCCATGTTACAGCGCTTGTTTACGGAAGACAGACGGAAGACAGAGGTGACCACCTGTGCTAATTAGCTATCTAGCATGCTCGAACACCTTTGTATAAGCGTAACTGGGGAGGAGTTGTAGTTCGTCGGTTTTAGGCACACAACTGTATGGATCTGTGCAGACCTGCTACAGTAAGTGTATTTTTTTTATTTTAAAGATTATTTCTTGCCGATATGAAAGATAAGTGATGATTATTGATGTTTCTAAACGTTAAAACAGAGTGTCGGGATTGTAGTTCACATGGTCCCACTGGTAAGCAGTGCTTGTAGCTGAAAACCCTTGGGATAATGCCTAGAGAACAAGGGCCAGTGCAGTGATGACTTCATTTCTACTCCTGAGTGGCGCAGTGGTCTAAGGCACTGCATCGCAGTGCTAACTGTGCCACTAGAGATCCTGGTTCGAATCCAGGCTCTGTCGCCGCCGGCCGCGACCGGGAGACTCATGGGCGGCGCACAATTGGCCCAGCGTCGTCCAGGGTAGGGGAGGGAATGGCCGGCAGAGATGTAGCTCAGTTGATAGAGCATGGCGTTTGCAACGCCAGGGTTGTGGGTTCGATTCCCACGGGGGGCCAGTATAAAAAAAAAAATGTATTCACTAACTGTAAGTCGCTCTGGATAAGAGCGTCTGCTAAATGACTAAAATGTAAAATGTAAATGTAAATGTAAATTTCTGAGAGGCCGACCATTCAGCTAGGGCTCTCATCAGGGTCGGGGCAGTTGGTCCGGACACTGTGCCCACACAGGCCCACATAAAGCACTGCCATCCCTCCTCCAGAAATGTGTGCAGAATGTGTGCACGCGCGTGTGTGTAAAGCTTTCCAAAAGTCCCATCAAAAATGAATAGGCCTAAAAGTGTTTGGAATGTGACCAGGAGATAGCCTGCTCATTTCGCTAATGGACATCACCACTGTGAGGATTTATGTTGGTGTCAGAACACATAGAGGGCATCTGGGCTTATTATGGGGTCTGCTTAATCCCTGGAAAATAACTCAAATTGACAGAGAGAATGCAGTTTAATGAGGTTGATGCTGCAGTCTAAACTGGAAGAAAAACATCAAAAGCATAGTTAGTAGACTCTTCATTTATTCATCATGAGCGGAGCCATTTTCACATTCTAACAGCACACTTTGATTTCAACTCAAAGACTGGGATTATTGGGTAGAATACCGGCTAAATCCTTTCTAGCTACTGCAATGACCTGGCAGTGTGGTGCCGGGACAACAATATTTTCCTCAACGTCAGTAAGACGAAGGAGCTGATTGTGGACCATAGGAAACGAGGGGGCGAGCACGCCCCCATCCACATCGACGGGGCTGCAGTAAAGCGGGTCAAGAGCTTCAAGCTGTCCAAATCACTAAAGACTTAAAATGGTGCACACACGCACGCACAGTCGTGAAGAAGGAGCGACATGCGCCTCTTCCCCCTCAGGAGGTTGAAAAGGTTTAAAATGTTATACCCAAGCACACGCCATCAGGAGATGCTGTTTATGTGGGCTGGGTGAGGAAAAGTGGACAGCAGGCCTGCTGTGTTGAAGGCTTGAAGGGGACTCAAACAGCTTCATCAGACTTCCTCCCCTAATCAAAGTGCATAAGAGAGAAGAAGATAGTGTTGGTGATTATGTGTATTTGTGATGCATAGCATTAGCAATCAACTGTACTTCATAATGATTGTGATCTGGAATCTCTGCTCCAAACCTTTTAGAGGAATGACAACGATCAAGCTGGTGTCATTTTATTATTTTACCCAAAGTTGTGACCAGTTCCTCTGTTACTAAATTACCTCAGCAGTCAGTGAAGCATGTTTCTTTCTCTCTCTCAAGACTTTCCAAGGCCTGCTCCCCGTGTCATGCACATTATCTGAGTGTCTGAGTGGACTGTAGGGGTTTATCAGTTAACATCTCCAGGGTCCGCGCATCACTTCAGAGGGATACTGAAGGCTGGGCTGTGAAACAACCTTACTGAGTTCTGTTTCAATGCTAGTTGACATTTGACAACAGAGAAAGACACCGATGAGATGCCCACACACCCGGCCGTTGCTGCATCCTTCCTGTTGAATGGTGCCTGCAAGTTCAAGCTGAAGTGATCACCTTATCCATCATCAGTACCACAGAATTTTTGACAAGAGTATTTAAGCTAATGGACCATGTAAAGAGGTGACACTAGAAGTCCCTCCTGAAATAGCCTACTTGGCTTTTAATTAAACATGTCAATGCGACACTCAGGGGTACGCTTCCATTTCTCAGAAGAGATATATTCTTAATGAAAAAACCTGGAGGTCAAATAGGGTGAAAATATCAGTAATAACATTCAACATATAACAGCGTAAAAACATTGTCGTTTCACTTTGTCTGTGATGGACTCGGACTGTGAGAGAGACAGAGGATGTCTTTTTTCGGGCATTGGACATTGTGTCTTGGGTTTATTTTCAAAGGAGTCTATAGAAAGCGCTTTAACAAGACTTTATTGGAGAGAAAAAATCTCTTCTGGTTTGTTGTTCTTAAACATTCTTGTCCCTTCTGACCCCTTGTACTTTTTGGGAGATGTGGCAGCCAGTGGGGAGGTGTGATGTCACTGACCAGAGCTAGGCTAGGTTTCTAGTACAGAGGCTCATGAGACAGGGTAAATTCAAAACAAAATAGATGTTATTGCCTATAAGGTTCCAACCTAAACAATCTCTTCAAGAATCAGACTTAAATGTTCAGCAAATAAAACTTGCAACTAGAGCTACCTGCTCTCTCAGTCCTCTTCCCCCATGAGGGGAAACCAGCAGCTAATAAGTGTGGTGCCTGATTGAGTAGCCGGCCACACCCTTAACGAGCCTATTGAAGTCAGCCGTGCCTGTTCACCTTCTAGCCAGTGCGCGCGTTCCCGGCTGACTACATGGCTTGTGATGCTGGTGAGAGCATGGATATTAGGTGGATGACCCTCACAGCGCCACATTCCTTTCTTCTCATGAGTGAAGCCGTCAGGTGACCAACGATGACCCATCCCAAGGATTCAAGCTGATGGCTGCATTCTAGGCTGACCACCTGGCTTGTAGTGCTAGTCGTGGTAGGAGGGTTGGCCCCTGACAGCCCCACAGGAGAAAAGAGAGGGGAGGAGAAAGGGGTGCATGGGGTTCAGAAAAGAGACAGGGATGATTTAACTCAAGTCTTCTTCCCTTTCACCCCACCCCTCTTACTGGGTCTTGCATAATTGTCTCATTTCCATACCTCCTGTCTTTCTCTTGTTACTCACTCTCTCTACCACATCTCTCTCTCTCTCTCTCTCTCTCTCTACCTCATCTCTCTCTACCTCATCTCTCTCTCTCTCTCTCTCTCTCTCTCTCTCTCTCTCTCTCTCTCTCTCTCTCTCTCTCTCTCTCTCTCTCTCTCTCTCTCTCCTCTCTCTCTCTCTCTCTCTCTCTCTCTCTCTCTCTACCTCTCTCTCTACCTCAGACCGGTGGAAATGTGTCCTTTAGTCTGGAGTCCAAATTGGAGATTTTTGGTTCCAACCTCCGTGTCTTTGTGAGACGCGGTGTGGGTGAACGGATGATCTCCGAATGTGTAGTTCCCACCGTAAAGCATGGAGGAGGAGGTGTTATGGTGTGGGGGTGCTTTGCTGGTGACACTGTCTGTGATTTATTTAGAATTAAAGGCACACTTAACCAGCATGGCTACCACAGCATTCTGCAGCGATACGCCATCCCATCTGGTTTGGGCTTAGTGGGACTATCATTTGTTTTTCAACAGGACAATGACCCAACACACCTCCAGGCTGTGTAAGGGCTATTTTACCAAGAAGGAGCGTGATGGAGTGCTGCATCAGATGACTTGGCTTCCACAATCCCCCGACCTCAATCCAATTGAGATGGTTTGGGATGAGTCGGACGGCAGAGTGAAGGAAAAGCAGCCAACAAGTGCTCAGCATATGTGGGAACTCCTTCAAGACTGTTGGAAAAGCATTCCAGGAGAAGCTGGTTGAGAGAATGCCAGGAGTGTGCAAAGCTGTCATCAAGGCAAAGGGTGGCTATTTGAATAAAATATATTTTGATTTGTTTAACACTTTTTTGGGTTACTACATGATTCCATATGTGTTATTTCATAGTTTTGATGTCTTCACTATTATTCTACAATGTAAAAAATAGTAAAAATAAAGAAAAACCCTTGAATGAGTAGGTGTGTCCAAACTTTGGACTGGTAGTGTATGTAAACGTGTGGTTGAGAGTAGCATGCCGGATCAAACTGGACGGCAATGGGTGAAGGGAGTTATTACAAGAGTTCTAGAAATTGTTAACATGAAAAAAATAAAGGACCACTTGAAGGGAGGCTCTCTTATTGAGGCAAAGCGCCTCCAGATGACACAAGATGGGAAGAAGGTGTATAGCTTGTCAGGTCTATTAAATTTTGAGGATCTGGTACAGACAGAAAAAGTTAGGATTGGGTATATGAGTTACTATGTGCGTGCATATGTTCCGAAACCATTGCGTTGCTATAACTGTCAAAGGTTTGGGCATGTGGCGGCGGTGTGTAAAGGCAAATGGAGATGTGTGAAGTGTGGGGGAGAACATGCATATGGGGAATGTGGAGAGGGGTCCAGTTAAAGTGCTTTAACTGTGGGGGCGCCCACAGTCGGGCATATAGGGGTAGTGCAGGGATGAAAAGACAGGTGGAAGTTCAGCAGCGTAAAAGCTCATATGCAGAAGCAGTGAAGGTAGCTCACGCATAAAGAATTGGTGCACCTAGAAGAGCACGTATTCCAGGGCAGATCGGGATGTAGGTTGGGCGTGATGTAGGGAGCAGAATGGGGGAGAACACAAGACTGGTAGTTGACATGAGGAAGGTTGTTACATTTGTGATAGTGTGACACACACAAAATGTATGGTCACATTTGTGTTTATGTATTGTGTCTTTGTATTGGGGAAGAATGCTTTTACTGAAATGTCAGTCCTCCAAGGTTTCCCAATTGAGATACACTTATACTACTGTTGGCCAGTAGGGGGCAGTGAGATGTGTTCGCTTTGCACTGGGACTATATGCGATCCTGCACATGTGTGTTCTCATAATTGAGAGAACCTTTGAAAAAGAAGCCATGTTCTCCAGTTTCATCATTTATCCTGTGTTACAGGTCAGTAAAGTACAAAAATACACTGAATACCACAATATAGTTTTGTAACTTTCATGTTGAAGTGAATGTAATGGTTTTGAACAACATAGTAACTGTATAACTTCATACTAGACAGAAAACGCATGTCGAGTATAAAATGAAATGATGGCGGTGCATTCCTTTGATCTAAAAAAATGACTAATTGTTAACTCCTAAACATGTTTTTTTTAAGACACTCCTGACAGTATCCTAAGGGTTAAGAGAAGTTCATGTTGTAATTGTGATGTTTAAGAACTTTGTAATTGTTGTACTGTAAATGTTAGATAAGCCACTAGCTTAGAGCTATCTCCGGTTAGCTATTAGCTGTCTCCGGTTAGCTTTTGGCTAGCTCCGGTTAGCTTTTGGCTGGCTCCGGTTAGCTGTTTGCTAGCTCGGGTCAGTTGGTTGCTGGCTTCGGTTAGCGCTATGCTAGCTTGTTCAGTCATTTTCCAATAATTAGCATTAATGTAATTTGAAATAGTATGGTCTTTCTATTAGCTCTTATTACACTGGGTGAATGTATTTTGAGCATGGGTATAAAGTAACTTCTAATGAGTTATACCAGTCTTTAAAGGCTTTCATGTTTTAGAGTCTCCAATGAGGCTATAGTGGGCAACAGTCAATTACATAAGTATAACCTAAACAGGTGAATTAAAGATAAGAGTAAATGTGTTTGGGGTATAAATGTAAAGGAGTTGAGGATGTGAATTGGATTGGAATTTCATATTTTTTATGTGTAAATTGATGTATGTTTGATATGTTTATGAAGTAATATGTCAGGGATTTATGAGACAGATTACAATATACACTTTAAAGAAGAAAAAGAAGAAAAAACATTGAAATACAATGAAAAGACAGAAAAGGACGATTTGCCCTTGAGAGAATGTTGAATAAAATAATTGAGAGAACCTTTGAAAAAGAAGCCACGTTCTCCTGTTTCATCATTTATCCTGTGTTACAGGAACTATTATCTGCTGCACCAGTCCCAAAACTGGGACCTGTAACAATAGCAGCAATCAATTGCAAAGAAAAATGTACATCTAAAAATAAGAAGACACAGATCATAGTGGAGCTTGCAGTGAAGTATAATGTGATCACAGGACTGACATGGGAAAATGTACAGGATGACCTCAATAAGATTGAGAATCAGTCCAGCCAGGAATCATGTATTGGTTAATTTTCATAATGGTGTTATTCCTTCAATGGAATGCCAGAAGTTTGATGGCTAATGCGCAAGAGTTCAAACAGTTTCTTGAGGAGTTACCAGCCAAACCTGATGTGATATGTCTCCAGGAGACATGGCTTAAACCTACTTAAGATTTTGTAATACAAGGCTATGTTGCAATCCGTAGAGATAGGGTGGCAAGGGGAGGGCAGGGTGTGTTACCTTTATAAAGCGGGGGATCCCATATAGGCGTGTGGGAGAGGGAGTGGAACAGGAGTATGTAGTGGTAGAGGTGTGGTTGGGAGGGAGGGGGGAATATGGTAATAGTGATCTTTTACAATCCGTGTAAGAGACTAGAGTTGATGGCCCTTGGGAATGTAGAAGGTCAAGATAGGAGACGGCTAATGTGGTGTGGGGATTTTAATGCTCATAGTACGCTCTGGGGAGGGTTACGGACTGATGTAAATGGACAAGTGTTGGAGGAACTACTTGATGAGAAAGGGCTTGTGAGTCTTAATGACAGCCGGGGAACCAGGATTGACCCAGTAACTGGAAAGGAATCTGATCTGGATGTTACTCTGATCTCAAGTTCAATGGCAGGCAGATGTAGTTGGGAGGTTTTTGAGGAATCTACAGTGGTTAGTGATCACTATCCTAGCATGTGTACTGTAGGAATGAGGGTGGAAGATTCAGTAGGAAAAGGATTGAGGAGATGGATATTTGGGAAAGCGGAGTGGGGTCAGTTTAAGGAGT